CTGCACCGCATCCATGCCCCGCCTCACGCTCACCGCCCACATCCACGATCGGCACAGGAACGCGGGGAGATGGACATGACAGCCGCCGCTGGAATGACAGCCGCCGATAGACAGGCCCGATCTCAGGAGTAAGTTGCTGGAAGACTGCCCAGGTAAGCCTGCACTTTGCCCCCACATGGTGCTCTATAATGTATTGCTGGGATAGTGGGACTTGTAGTCCTCTATAGCTGATGGTACATTGTGCTGTATTGTATATTATACAAAGCAATGTACCATCAGCTATAGAGGAATACAAATCCCAGCAATACATTGTACGCTGTATAATGTGTTGCTGCAAATCAAAGCAATAATGCATTATACAGCGCAATGTATTGCTGGGATTTGAAGTGGTGCAATGCAGAATGCCACCAGCTATAGAGGACTACAAAACCCAGCAATAGTACACTATACAGGGCAATGCAGAATACCGCCAGCTATAATGTACTATTACCAGATTTGTTGTATTCCTCTATAGCTGGTTGTATGTTGCTGTATAATGTACTATTGCTGGGTTTTGTAGTCCTCTATAGCCGATGCCATTCTGCATTCATTGCTGTATAATTTTACACTTTCCATTTCACTATATTGCACACCACTTTTTTTTTTCTTTTACTTCCACTGCTCCAAGCTTGCTCATGTGATGGACTACAATCTCAATACAAACTAGTAGTCCATCACTGGAGCTATTTTTAAAAATGAATTTAATTTTTTATCCGATTAATCGGCTAACCGATTTTGAAAATAATCGTTAGCTGCAGCTCTACCCTTTTACCCTATGTTGTGTTTGGGTTTTTTTATTTCTGTCATGCTTTTTTATTTAGTTTTTTAATATGAATTGTTTCTCTGCAGGGTCATGCTGCTCCTATCCTCTATGCTGCATGGACTGAAGCTGGTTATATTAAGGAATCTGACCTTCTTAACCTGAGGAAGATTGACTGTGACTTGGAGGGCCATCCTACACCGGTAAAACTTGCCCCAATGACACAGAATTTCTAAGGAGAAAGCACACTAGATGCTGCTTGCATACTTTCTCATTTTATTTATGTATGGCCCATATGAACACTGTGATCTCACTAGCTGGTCCTGCACTGTAGACTTTTGACCATGACCTTAATCTGTCAAACCCAATTGACTGGTCAACCACTAGTGGAAGGGATTTGATCACAATTGCTGTAGATCCCTTGGTCATAGAGCATTTAAGAAATCATGCCTGCAGCCTTGAGCTGTGGTATGGATGTGTTGTCAGAGGACCTTAACGAAGTGTTGGATTGTACAAAAAAACCTTCAGGGGCTACCCAGAATGTTATCACTAAGGAAGCCACTGGTGGCAAGAGCTCTCTTCCTCTCAGCCAAAGAAGCCTGAGACCTCATTCACACTGAGCAGTTTGTAGCGGGATTCCTGCTCAAATTGTTCAAACGTGAAGCTCAGTGTAGCTATTTCAATGGAGCTGTTCACATCTCGCAGCTCAATGTCGCTTGTCAGCTTGAACATTATCTATTTTTCGGCGGATTTTGTGCCATTCAGCCCAATGGACCCAAGAGTTACTAGCCACCAGTTGCCCCACCTAACCCTTACCCTGCCCCCCTAAACACACCCTCTTAAATCTTATGATATTTCTTATCTTATAATGGTTGCCGCTTGTAAACGGCAGATTAGGGATTCCTGCAGCAGGAAAACGCAAGTTCCTGACACAGGAATCTCTCTAATCACACCTGAAATATACTGTAGGTGTGAATGGGGCATAATATACACATACACTAAAGGTGTCCATACACCTACCGATGATCGTGGGTGATCCTGCGATCGTACGATATCAGCAGGTGTATGGGCAGCGTGCGACTGTTTCTACTATAAGGTCGTACGACTTGTCTTCTAAGCAAAAATAATTGTAAGATTGCCCGCTCAGCACTGCAATCATCGGAAGCCCGCCCCTCAGCAGGGAGGGCTTGCGATGATCGCAAGTACGATCTGCCTGTCCAAGATGGGCAGATCGTACGAGATTTTAATGACCTTACAACCATTGTATAACGAAAGTCATGCAATGGTTAATAAAATTCCCCCCACACACAGAAAATAATACTCCAACCCCCCCTCACCTGTTCACATCTTTGCAGTGAGGAGGCTGTGAGCAGGATCGATCCCTAGTTATCTGGTGATTTAGTGAGGTCCGACCCTCGGCCGAAGGAAGCCAGAGCTGACCGGAGCAGCTCTGCGATCTGCATCCGACACAGATGTGGAGCTGCCCCCGCAAGTCGGGTACGCCGTCTGCGACCGTGTGCCTGACACATCAGCTGGCTTCGGGCCACATAGTACCAGCTCGCGGACCAGTACTTAAGGCCCAAATTTCCACAAATTTTGAGCCCTGTTCTGGGACCTCCTGGTCTCAAAGTTCAACAGACTGGACAGGTTTTTTCTCGAGGTACAGTGCACCTCTAGCAGAAGCTGTGGATGCTCTGGTGATTCTGTTATTGGTACAACCTGACCATGCCTTTTTCTCACCTGAAACTTATCCCTTCTCTGCTTCTTGGGATTGAGATGGATGGGCATTCTGGTTATCCCCAAACCTCTGGATTGCTCCAGGCAGATGTTGTATTCTGCTTGATGAAACCATCTACATCCAATATGGTCTAGCACTGCATGTAGTAGGCAAGATGAGATGTTTTCACCCTAGGGATCCTTGCCTTTTTACATATGGGACTGGGTCAGCATTTGGCCATCCACACCATTTCTGCTATTGTAATCTTGCTAAAAGTTGTCAACGTTTTCAATCATCGATTAGTTGGCCCTGTTCACGGCTGCGTGCCTCACGCTCACTGCTGCCAGACCCGCTGCCAGAACCGCATCCATGCCCCGCCTCACGCTCACCGCCCACATCCACGATCGGCACAGGAACGCGGGGAGATGGACATGACAGCCGCCGCTGGAATGACAGCCGCCGATAGACAGGCCCGATCTCAGGAGTAAGTTGCTGGAAGACTGCCCAGGTAAGCCTGCACTTTGCCCCCACATGGTGCTCTATAATGTATTGCTGGGATAGTGGGACTTGTAGTCCTCTATAGCTGATGGTACATTGTGCTGTATTGTATATTATACAAAGCAATGTACCATCAGCTATAGAGGAATACAAATCCCAGCAATACATTGTACGCTGTATAATGTGTTGCTGCAAATCAAAGCAATAATGCATTATACAGCGCAATGTGGAATACCACCAGCTATAAAGAGTACAACAAATCCCAGCAATAATACATTTATACAGTGGTGCAATGCAGAATGCCACCAGCTATAGAGGACTACAAAACCCAGCAATAGTACACTATACAGGGCAATGCAGAATACCGCCAGCTATAATGTACTATTACCAGATTTGTTGTATTCCTCTATAGCTGGTTGTATGTTGCTGTATAATGTACTATTGCTGGGTTTTGTAGTCCTCTATAGCCGATGCCATTCTGCATTCATTGCTGTATAATTTTACACTTTCCATTTCACTATATTGCACACCACTTTTTTTTTTCTTTTACTTCCACTGCTCCAAGCTTGCTCATGTGATGGACTACAATCTCAATACAAACTAGTAGTCCATCACTGGAGCTATTTTTAAAAATGAATTTAATTTTTTATCCGATTAATCGGCTAACCGATTTTGAAAATAATCGTTAGCTGCAGCTCTACCCTTTTACCCTATGTTGTGTTTGGGTTTTTTTATTTCTGTCATGCTTTTTTATTTAGTTTTTTAATATGAATTGTTTCTCTGCAGGGTCATGCTGCTCCTATCCTCTATGCTGCATGGACTGAAGCTGGTTATATTAAGGAATCTGACCTTCTTAACCTGAGGAAGATTGACTGTGACTTGGAGGGCCATCCTACACCGGTAAAACTTGCCCCAATGACACAGAATTTCTAAGGAGAAAGCACACTAGATGCTGCTTGCATACTTTCTCATTTTATTTATGTATGGCCCATATGAACACTGTGATCTCACTAGCTGGTCCTGCACTGTAGACTTTTGACCATGACCTTAATCTGTCAAACCCAATTGACTGGTCAACCACTAGTGGAAGGGATTTGATCACAATTGCTGTAGATCCCTTGGTCATAGAGCATTTAAGAAATCATGCCTGCAGCCTTGAGCTGTGGTATGGATGTGTTGTCAGAGGACCTTAACGAAGTGTTGGATTGTACAAAAAAACCTTCAGGGGCTACCCAGAATGTTATCACTAAGGAAGCCACTGGTGGCAAGAGCTCTCTTCCTCTCAGCCAAAGAAGCCTGAGACCTCATTCACACTGAGCAGTTTGTAGCGGGATTCCTGCTCAAATTGTTCAAACGTGAAGCTCAGTGTAGCTATTTCAATGGAGCTGTTCACATCTCGCAGCTCAATGTCGCTTGTCAGCTTGAACATTATCTATTTTTCGGCGGATTTTGTGCCATTCAGCCCAATGGACCCAAGAGTTACTAGCCACCAGTTGCCCCACCTAACCCTTACCCTGCCCCCCTAAACACACCCTCTTAAATCTTATGATATTTCTTATCTTATAATGGTTGCCGCTTGTAAACGGCAGATTAGGGATTCCTGCAGCAGGAAAACGCAAGTTCCTGACACAGGAATCTCTCTAATCACACCTGAAATATACTGTAGGTGTGAATGGGGCATAATATACACATACACTAAAGGTGTCCATACACCTACCGATGATCGTGGGTGATCCTGCGATCGTACGATATCAGCAGGTGTATGGGCAGCGTGCGACTGTTTCTACTATAAGGTCGTACGACTTGTCTTCTAAGCAAAAATAATTGTAAGATTGCCCGCTCAGCACTGCAATCATCGGAAGCCCGCCCCTCAGCAGGGAGGGCTTGCGATGATCGCAAGTACGATCTGCCTGTCCAAGATGGGCAGATCGTACGAGATTTTAATGACCTTACAACCATTGTATAACGAAAGTCATGCAATGGTTAATAAAATTCCCCCCACACACAGAAAATAATACTCCAACCCCCCCTCACCTGTTCACATCTTTGCAGTGAGGAGGCTGTGAGCAGGATCGATCCCTAGTTATCTGGTGATTTAGTGAGGTCCGACCCTCGGCCGAAGGAAGCCAGAGCTGACCGGAGCAGCTCTGCGATCTGCATCCGACACAGATGTGGAGCTGCCCCCGCAAGTCGGGTACGCCGTCTGCGACCGTGTGCCTGACACATCAGCTGGCTTCGGGCCACATAGTACCAGCTCGCGGACCAGTACTTAAGGCCCAAATTTCCACAAATTTTGAGCCCTGTTCTGGGACCTCCTGGTCTCAAAGTTCAACAGACTGGACAGGTTTTTTCTCGAGGTACAGTGCACCTCTAGCAGAAGCTGTGGATGCTCTGGTGATTCTGTTATTGGTACAACCTGACCATGCCTTTTTCTCACCTGAAACTTATCCCTTCTCTGCTTCTTGGGATTGAGATGGATGGGCATTCTGGTTATCCCCAAACCTCTGGATTGCTCCAGGCAGATGTTGTATTCTGCTTGATGAAACCATCTACATCCAATATGGTCTAGCACTGCATGTAGTAGGCAAGATGAGATGTTTTCACCCTAGGGATCCTTGCCTTTTTACATATGGGACTGGGTCAGCATTTGGCCATCCACACCATTTCTGCTATTGTAATCTTGCTACAGAGACTGCTGGTTTCACATTCTTTGATCAAGCCTTTTGTGCAGGGTGCCACCCATATGACTTCCCCTGTTTTTCCAGATGATTCCATAAGATCCAAATTTGGTTCTCCCAAAGATTCAAAATCTGCCAGTTTGAACAGCCTAGGGATATTCACCTTTCCACTAATTTTGTTTCTTGTTGCCATCATCTCTGAGTTTCTGTGCTGCTGCCCTTGTACTATAAAGAACTTTCTGGTCTTTGACAAGGTGGTGCTGAGGCCTAGAACTCCATTGCAATTTGGGCTGTACGTTTCTTGCAGCCACTGCTTCCTTCCTTTCTCATTACTGATGGTCTCTGTAATGGTGAACCAGCTTCTTGTGCTACCATTTATCAATGGCTCTAACCGAGCATTATCAAGCTTATGGTCTCATGCACTGGGTGCCAAACCTTTCTTGTCAAGGCACTTGTAGAGCTGTAAGTGCCTCCTGGGCTCTTTGGCATAAAGCTACTGTTTCTCAGATTTGGATGTCTGCCACCTTGTCTTCTATTCTCTAAGATCTACAATGTTGATGTTTTGGTTGCATCTGATGTCAAAGTGTGGAGAAGATCCCCAGGTTTTGTGTGTGTGTTTTGTGTAATGCCGTTGGGTTTGCCTTTTTTGGATTCTGCAAACCTGATGGCCTGCTTGCCACAGGCAGTGTGAAATCTTCCCAACAGGAAGACTGACAAGTTTGCTGATGCTCCAGTCTCAACTAATGTGCATGCACACATGGTAGTGAGCTTGATGGGTAGATGTCAGTCTGGAGAAGAGGCATTCAAAGTCAGACTGCATGCAGAATGCCCTAGGTAACACCCACATCTAATGCTGAGCCTCCTTGGTTAAAAACGAAGGGGTAGGCCAGGGACTGTCGGGCTGGGGAGCAAAAAGGTAGTTGATGGTGGACATGAATTCAGGCAGGTAGTTGGATTCTTACACTGCATTAGATGTCTGCTAAAGCTCCCTACAGTGTGCAGTGGAAAAACCGTATGCTATTTGATTTGAGTACAGGAGAGGAGCATGTACAACCATGCAAGACTGAAGGTAATACTGGCGTACAGCTCTAACGATATTATTGAATTACAGAAACTGCCGTTCGTTGATGTTGCTACTGGCTCACTTGGACAAGGCCTGGGAGCATCCTGTGGTATGGCTTACACTGGGAAATACTTTGATAAGGCAAGGTATGTACACTTGTTCCCCACAACGAATTCACATATTTAATGGGGGTATTCTAAACAATTGGTAGCACCATAGGCCAAAGAGTAATGTGGTCAGAGGCCCTTTTTCTAGAGAATATGACTTGGGGACAAATTTACATCTATGCATTGTGGCATCGTCCACATTATGAAAAAGCATTGTTGCACGTGCTGCAATGCCATTGTTTGAATAGCACCTCAACACACTAAGGCTGTGTGTTATTTGCTGCGTCGGAAGTCCATTTCAAGGGGCTGCAATAATGCAATGCATGTTAATGTGTGACATAACACATATGCATTAACTTGCCACACAAATGTAAATGGGCCATTAATTATGTCCTTAAGATAAGGACAATGCCTCCATCAGACTTTCTCTCCAAACATGCATCAGGTCCAATACTCCCTGTAAATCCTAATGCCTACATTTCTTCTGTGTTAACAAATGCTAAATGCAGATCAGCCTTTCATCTTGTGATGGGATGCAGCCTTAACTGGGGGAAATTTAATCTGAGATTATATAATCTTGGCCTTGGCAGTCACTGACCAAAGCCCTGGTCTTTAATCTTAAACGGTGGAGCTTTTTTCCCCAAAACACTAATTATTGAAAAATCTTTTTCAAAAATTGGTTTGTTCCATTTGTCTGCTATTGAGGTAGCCGCTAACAGCTTCACTGCAGTCCTACTTCTCAGCCCATGTGGGACTGCACATACTGATCTCTTAAAGCTGAACTCGGGTATGTGGGTTGTGAGGTTTTTTGTTTTCCCCTTTTCTCCAACAATACAAAAGTTTCCATTACACTGCACAAATTGGCAGTTTAGATGTCCTTGCCACCTAATACATGGTTGCTTTTTTCTTTGCAGTTATCGTGTTTATTGTCTGCTGGGTGACGGCGAGTCTTCTGAAGGTGCTGTATGGGAAGCCATGGCATTTGCATCTCACTACCATCTAGATAACCTGGTGGCCATTTTTGATGTAAACCGTCTGGGCCAAAGTGAAGCTGCTCCTCTCCAGCACCAGACTGAGATCTACAAGAAAAGATGCGAAGCTTTTGGGTAACTGTATATAAGTTGTCATGTGGTAGAAATATATATGTTCCACTTTAAAATCTGTGCATCCCTAATGGAGTTCCTTTATTTAATTTACACCCCCTCCCCCTTTTCACAGATGGAACACCTATATTGTGGACGGTCATGATGTTGAAGAATTGTGCTATGCTCTGTGGCAGGCAGCCAACACGAAAGACAAGCCCACTGCAATCATTGCTAAAACCTTCAAAGGAAAAGGCATTTCAGGTAAGGTCCTGGACAGTTCTGTTCATAAAATGACAGTTGCTGCAAAAAATACATAAACCTTGTTATGATTTTTGGTCCTTCCTAGGTGTTGAAAATCAAGATAATTGGCATGGAAAACCTATGCCTAAAGAAAAGGTAGAGTCCATTATTAAGGAGATCCAGAATCGGATCCAGACCAACAAGAACCTGACTCCCTTGGCTCCCATCAGAGATGCTCCCGAGGTCAGCATTGCCAACATTACAATGTCCACTCCTCCCAGTTACAAAGTAGGAGACAAGGTGAGTGCAATCTCCTTTGTACCATAAGACAAATGTGAGGAAATAATTCAGGAAAGTCTAGATGAAATGCAGTGTACAGTTAGTCACATATACTAAAATGCCACCTAAAGAATTCTGACAAGGCAAGCCGCTTGACAAATCCTATGCAGTACACCTGGCAGTTGATAAGGTTGCCAGTTCAAGAATGGCAGCTCGCTTGCAAAATGACCTTTAAAAGATCTTGTATTATAATGGAAAACCGTACATTTGTATAGGATGTGTCTGGATGATGTCTTCATGTAAATAAAACAAATTTGCACCTGCAGGAATTGGTTGAAAACTTTGACATATGGGTGTCACTCTGGGTTCATGCCTGGTGTCCAACAGAGTGATGTCCACCATGGTTTGTGTCTACTTCTGAGTTGATGCCTTGATCGTCATTCGGTATGCTTCCCATGTTCAGAATGCTGAAGGCGGGACAGAAGCACTGGCCTTCAAAAAAAATGCCTATATATATATATATATTCTTAATGTGCAGACCTAAATTGCATGTGGACAATTTAAGCTTGGCAACTAGAACCAATTCCTTTATGATGGCCAATGGAAAGTCAGAAAATGTGACATGAAAAAGTCCATTCCTAGTTTACCAGCTTCTCTGTATTGGTGGTAGCATTGGTTTGAAATGGGTACCGAATGTTTTACCCCTTCATGACTGAGCTAGTTTTCATTTTCTGTTCATAAATGACTGACACACTTTTAAAATTTTTGCTGTGTGATTCTTCCACAGCAGTAATATACTTTCTTACTAAATGTACCCACACATTACTATATATTTTTTAGAGGACAGATAGGGCTATATAATATCACTTTGAATAAATAGGGCTATATAATTTATATCACTTTGAATAAAATTTAAAAAAATTAGAAACTAGAACACTTTTTTCACAAGTTTTGATTATTTGTTTATTATAGTATAAAAAAATGTATATTTTCCTAGTTTTGTTTTACACTTTGACAAGAAAAAATTTACATTTTTTTTTACAGTTTATATCAAGCAGTCACTATGACTGCTTGATAAATTAACTTTTTTAATTTTTTTTAATTTTTGGCTATTAGGCTGCTCCAAACTTAGGAACAGCTAATCATAACCTTAGAGACTGATCCTGACTTTAGTCAGATTCAGATCTCACTAAAATGTCTATGATCGTGCCTAGACGATCAGAACTGATACATTTCGCTCAAAAGATATGCATTGTATCTTTTTAGTGAAATGTATCTAAACATTGGGCTCTCAAGCTGTCAAAACAAATAGCAGAGAGGTGAGTCACTGCTACCTCTCTGCTATTTTGAGCTGTCAAATACAGGATCGCAAATTGCGGTCCTGTGTTTGCATGTAACGGCTTCATTTTTTTATTAATGAAAGGAAGAAGCTTTTACAAAACTTAATTTCATTAATGAATGCCTCAATACTGAGGTATTCATTAATGACTGGTAACTGCTGAGAATCAGCTGTTACCAGCATTACAAAGCCTGATATAACTCGTCACGTACAGTGTACATGGCTCGTCGTATAGGCACTTCGTGACGGGACGTACACTGTACGTCTCCCGTCACTAAGGGGTTAAATACATTGTTCTGTGAAAGTTACAGGACTGACCAATTTTTTCCTCTATTCTAGATTGCAACACGTAAAGCTTATGGCCTGGCACTTGCTAAACTGGGGCATGCAAACAGCCGGGTCATCGCCCTTGATGGGGACACGAAAAACTCCACATTCTCTGAGATCTTCAAGAATGAGCATCCTGAGCGCTTTATAGAGTGCTTCATTGCCGAACAGAATATGGTAAACACTTCTTCGGATGTATAGTTCTCATTGTAGAGCTATGCAGACTGTATTTGCTATAAATGTCTAATCGCATCAGTTGACGTTTAATCTGCTTGCATTTTGTCTTCCCTTCCCTAAAACATTTCACTAATTGGGTTACACATGGTCTTAAATACAGTACTTTGCACTGCTGTTACGGCCTTGATGGATATGTCTGCCCTCTAGTGGTGAAAATTGGTCAAATATTTTGTCATGAAAGGTAACCATTAAGTAGCCATTACAGTGTATTTATGGCCAAAACTTTATTTTCTTGATGGTGGGTAGGGATTATAACTCCTATTGCATTTTTACTCAGATTGTCCCCAGGACTGGAAGTGAAGGGAAATCTAACAGCTCTCTAGCCAAAACTAACAAGGGCAGGGGGCACGGGGTTCAGGCTTGATCAGCCTTCCTCATTCACCTGTGCAGGATAAGATCCTTTCTAATTATCTGTTCAGGTGGCGCTGGGACAATGATGGGTTAGCTCTGCTTGCCTTAACACAGCCTTTGGACCTTTTCTGAGGAAATGTTAGGCATCAGCATGTCAAACTTGCTATAGATGTGTTGTAGGGTTCTTTGCATAATCTAGTCTTTTAGTTCAACGGGCCATGGATATCATTGACCACTTCAGGACCTGCTGATTTTTAGCTGGACATCTAGTTGGAAGTGAACATGACTATAGGGGCTAGATACACACTAGTCAAAATGTTCATATAGCTTATCAGGTTGCATTTGTAGCAGTATACATCATCATTCTTCTGTCTTGCTATGTTTGTTACAGGTCAGTGTGGCAATGGGTTGTGCGACACGCAATAGAACTGTGGCTTTTGCCAGCACATTTGCTGCCTTCCTCTCTAGAGCGTATGACCACATTCGTATGGGGGCCATTTCTCAGTCCAATGTTAACCTGTGTGGCTCACACTGTGGAGTCTCTATTGGTGAGTTGTTTTTTTACTTTCTACCTTCTGCATACTATATCCATGGCCTTATGTATCTTGTCTTTGACCCTTTTACTGCTGCTGACATGAAGGCATGGTAACCAACTTGCATGTCCAATAGCCAACTACTTCTACGTATTGCATGCCCCCTCCCCCCTTCCCTTAAATGTGTCCTGTACTTGCCTTTTTTAAATCTATCTGTGCTATCAGAGGCTTTTCAGCACTCTTGTGATGCCAATAATGTGTTCACACCAGCATGCGCACACCAGCATGTTTTGCGTTGCGTGTTTGTTTTTGAGATGTATATAATTTATTTTTTACACTTTAACTCTATACACAGTGTTGTCGCACACCAATTAAAATGTATGCCTCCATTAAGCACCAAAGCGCAGCGCGGTGTAAACGGGCCTTGTACAAAGCAAGGCTTTGTGTTCGGACAGCGTAGGGAAAGCTGCCCAGCAAAGCCTAATGGGTCATTTGTAAAGAAATGTTTGCTTAACACTCTTGCTGCACAGATGGAGTGAGATAAATAATTCTAGGGTTATTTATTTAAATCTACATCGCTCACTATGTATTTTAACCCTTTTGCTGCCACAGACCTATGGCATACGGCAGAACACAACCACTTGCAGCTAGCCACATCAGTATGCCATACGTTAGTTGCATTCACTCCTTCTGGTATAAGTTTATGGTCGCTAAAACAACAATGAGCTTATAGCAGAACAGGTCCCCTGACTGTCCCATGTCAAATGGCGATCATCAGTAGACCATCTGTTTCGACCATTGATATTTCCCCGCCCCTGATATTTCCCCGAGGCTCCCCAACAGTAAAAAAAAATAATTAAAAACACCATATTGTGGTGTACGCCACAATTCAACTCTTTGGCAGCACATGTATCCTGTTTATCACAACACACACCAGCACACTGTTGCAGGATGTACAGAATTAGTAGTTAGCGCCATCTTTTTATTCTACAGAGCCTGTGATTTCATAAAATGTATAGTTTGGGTGGGAGTGGGGTCCATTTACAAATGCTAGAAATGCAGCAATAGAAAATTTGCAAAAAAAGGTGTGGCCAGCTGAGGTTAAAAACATTCTGGATGGTTTTGGCTTTCGCTAGTTTTGCAGGTGCTAAACTGTTAAAGGGCATATAGGTTATTCGGTTTTCCACATGTTACAAGCACACATACTGTGTCCCTCCATATGTGCTTGATTAGGCAGTGAAAGGGTTTTTATCTCCTGCTACACATGTCAAGGTTGTGAAGCTTTGACCTGTTCTAAGTGACTGTTTTGCGGCTTTCAGAACTTTTGGCAAAGTTGATTACATTTTATACAAAACTTCTATAGCTCACATTGCAATATTTTTTAAAACATTTAGTTATATTGGAATCTATTTGATTAAATTCTGATCCTAGGAAGTGATTACATCTTGTGCCTGTGACTTCCTACTGCTAACCCTATTGAAATTAATTTCAGAAGGAAGATTTACAGTTGTCACAAGCAAAACTAAGCTTTCATACCTAAAATACATAGCAGCACTGTGATTATTGGGATGTGAATTTTTTTTTTTTTTATTGTGAAGGCTCTAATGTGTAATTCTGATTGCAAATGAGTGCGGTGTGTTTTGTTTTTACTGTCAGGTGAGGACGGTCCTTCTCAAATGGCCTTGGAGGATATTGCTATGTTCCGTGCTATTCCATCCTGTACAGTCTTCTATCCCAGTGATGGCGTTTCCACAGAACATGCAGTCAGTCTGGCTGCCAACACTCCAGTAAGTGTCCTATTCAGTGAGTTATGCCATAGCAGCCAGGTATATCTGATCTCTGACCTGCAGTAACTTAAAGGAGAACTATGGGGTTAAGGCTTTTCCCCATAGTTCTCCTTAGGGTACCGGGAGGACACAAACTAGCGTCCTCCCGTCACCCTAGGCTCAGTATACCGCGAGCTTTAGCTACTGCTCGCGGCATACTGAGACGCTGAATGTGCGGATCCCGACAATTGTGCCATATCCGCCCATCTGCGTGACTGACAGGCAGAGCCAGCTATCTAGAGGCAGAGCCAACTGTACCCTCCCCCGTCCGTTCTGCCAGTCAGCGCTGGCGGATCGGAGTGCGGAATCTAGCCCATCCCCCTGTCACGGCAGAGAGCTGTGACAGGATCGAGAGGTGAGCGAACGCCAGTATATGTTCGCTCACCTCTCGCTCTACTGAGCCGACCTGTGACGCTCTCATTGTCACAGGTTGGCTAGAATTATGAGGAGTGAAAAGCACTCAACTCATAGTTCGTTTTTTTAAACTAGAATCCACTTGCTATGGGTTGCTGTGCATTGTTGCAGCTTGTTGTCCATTGCTACTGCATAATGGCTGTGTAACATCTTTGTTTTGGACATAATATGATCAGCTCTTTATATTTTAGGGGATGTGTTTTATTAGAACCAGCAGGCCGGATACCACAATCCTCTATTCTCCAGAGGAAAAGTTTGAAATTGGACAAGCAAAGGTAAATTGGCATGACATGCCCTCTGAGCAACCCTCCAACCCGTTTTTACGCTCTGTTTATTGCTTCAGTGGTTCATTCTAATATTGCTACTGTCTTTAAGGTTGTACGTCAGAGCGATTCAGACAGGGTGACTGTGATCGGAGCTGGTGTTACATTACATGAGGCGCTGGCAGCCGCAGATGAGCTTGCCAAACAAGGTTAGTAGCTTGCCTTTGTGCCAACTTTACCCTTTTAATTGCCACCATTAGAATATCTAGGCATGGTGAGACTGATTCCTGACTTGACATGATCTGTGAAAGTTTATACATTTATCTCCAGGCACTGGAAGTCCTTTTTTTAAATAGTGACTGCTTGATAAAGCTGTGCTGCAAGACACTGCCTAGTCATGAAAATCACTACCTTGGGCTGAGTTCACACCACAAATATCATTGCACTGATGGGGTGTGGTGTATGGGGTGTTTTTTTTTTTTTGGGGGGGGGGGGAAGAGATTGCATATGATTTGAGGTGGCTTGTAAAATGCAGGCCAGTACACTAAATTACACCAGTTCATTGCAATCCTGTATGCTGTACACTACTGTTGTTTTCTCTTTTCCACCCTTTTGGAAAATGCATCTGGGGTGAACAGGTCCTTGCTGTTTAAAGGGATCAAAGACTGATGCATTTTGTAGTTCTCTAAGCTTTATCTATTTAAAAAAAAAAAGCCTTTTCTGTGATGATCAGAAGAACATCTGCTGTAAAATGGTTTCAAGCAGATCTTTAAAACTTTCATTCACATATATTCCTCTGGCACAAAGGATATAAATATACTTTGTGCTCCAAATGGCTTTGCAAACCCACATATTGCCTTGTAAAACTAGCAGTGATGTCACTGTGCTATACACTGATCTGTGGGAGTGATCCAGCAGGCCCACCTGCTACAGGCTGCCTGCAGAAAACTACAGAGGGGGTGGAGACTAGACTAGTCACCCTGCACAAGGATAGGGCAGCAGTGACTGGTCTTTGTTACAGGAAATGTCTGCACTGAGGCAAAGTTTACACTGTATAACTGGACAGAGCTGCACACCAGGTTGAAGGCAAGAATAAATATGGCACTTAGATGATATTTGCTTATCCTGGAGTTCAGCTTTTCCTGAATGCCACTTAATACAGGGTTTTTCCCCCTGGTATAAATAGACTCCTATAGCAGATGCATTTTAACCTGTAATGTATTTTTGTTTTGAAGTCTAAGTATAAAGTCTCATTTTTTTTATTTTTTTTAAGATATCAATATCAGAGTGATTGACCCATTCACCATTAAACCTCTGGATGCAGCTACCATTATATCCAGTGGCAGAGCTACTGGTGGTCATATCATTACTGTTGAGGATCATTACAAAGAAGGTAAGATTTCAGTGCTAATGTGTTTTTAGATTTGGGCATGGTGATCGGAACGTGGGTTTTGGTGTTCTCGGCATTTCCAAGAAAAAGCCCTAAATACAAAGTCTACACAACTGGCATTGTAGCTGCTGTTGTATGCAGAGGGTTGATAACTTGGTGTCTTGTCTTTATTATACTGCTGCACAGGTCAGACTCCCCTACTTGTCATAAATCCTCAAGACAGCATAGATGGGCAGATGCCTCCCCTTCTCACCATGTTCTATTTTTTTATTACTTTTATTACTTTCATTACTGTTAATTGATGGTGAATCTGCAAAAAAGACTAATATATATAGTTTGAGCAGTCGTGTGGAGGGCAAAGCTGGGGAATCAACTTGCTCAGCAGAACTATAAAACCTTTGGACCGTAAAATGGTTCACTGGGGTGCATTTCAAATGTTTGATGGTTTGCCTTGAATTGTTAAGTTTGTTTATATTCCTTGCCGTTCACTCCCTGTTGCCTTTATTGGGAGTGTCTGCCATTTTATGGCTATACTTCAGCAAGAACTGCTGTGGTTTTTGGGGGAATGCATTGTAAGTGCACTTTATTTGAGTGACACTATTTTATAGCACCCTCAATATAGAATGAATTTTGTTTGGGGATAGCAGAGTGCAGGAACATTCAGCAGATGGCTGGGTTTGGCACACGTGGTGGCTAGAGATTGCTGTACATGAGACTAGTACAAATTGCTGTACATGACCTTTTTGTAATGCTGTAATGTTTCCCTTTCTGTCTTTCAGGTGGCATTGGGGATGCGGTGGCTGCAGCATTAGCTGGAGAGCCTGGATTCATTGTTCAGAGTCTGGCAGTCAGAGGGGTTCCTCGTAGTGGAAAGCCTACAGAGTTATTAGAAATGTTTGGCATCAGTGCCAAGTGCATTGTTGAAGCAGTAAAGTCTACCTTTGCAAATTAACAAGACCTGGTAGTGCTACGGAATGCTGCAAGTAGAAAAGTAGAGCAGCTTATTTGTTGCATGTGGCTTTAGTAAAGGAAGTCCTTGCTAAAAAAATACCAAGGCTGTCATTACTAACCACCTTCAGAAAATGTTAACGCGCTGGCTGCCATGCTGATCCAGAAGCTTCTTATTGAGTATGCCGATCAGGAAAGTTGGAATGAAGTCCAAGCTTCTAATCCGAATGAAAGTCACTGACTCCAAATGTATTGGATCTGTAAGGAAAGCACAATGGACAGCTAGCATTTTCAGAAGAGCTGGTTGGCAGTGGCAACCTCCACATGTCATTCTTTGCCGGTTTCTATTAAGCATTTAATAATGCCATACATTCACGGGGCTCTCAACATTACCATTACTCTTCTACCTCAATGTGACCATGTTAAGTGTACTGACCTCTACAATTCCATTCCATGATTCGTCTTCCTGTTTTCCACCTCTGAGCACTTAATAAAGACTAATTTGTCTATTGTGGTCTCTGAGTAGAGTTCTTTTGAGAAATGGTTTCTCTTGAATTTATGAAAGGTCTGCTGTTCTTGACATAATTGCATCTCGTATTAAAAATGGATAGGGGGGGAAAGGGGTTAGAACCTATTGCTCAAGGATGCAGAAGGGGAGCCAAATCAATTTTTGGGTCCAAATAGTCTTAACGTTCAAAGATGTATAAAGGTTGTGATATCCTTCAGGACAAAGGCATGTGTTATGCAATAACCACTTCACGCACAATATGTACTACTGAAGAGTATTCCTCTGTGGATAGTGTATCACTTTTATATAGACAAATTGAAAGAAATTATATCGGAAATCAAACTTAAAATTGGGGTGTGAAGTATATAGTCTTTTTGGCTGTGCCTCTATTCTGTCTCCCGTCTCTATTCAACTACTGTAAAAGATATGCTGAACCCCCTGTTGCCCCATCAATTAGATGTGGGGGTTTTGGGCAAACTCCTTCCCTATGTTTAGGTTACAGGGCATGAACATTAAAGCAGACCTGTACCCCCTTTGACTAAAAATCGACATGCAGCTCATCATGCTGACATGAAATACTTGCATTCATTAGCGAATCCAACAACCTTTTTAATTTTCTTTTTATATACTTCCTAGTCCCTTTTTGCACAAATTATGTAATCTGTGCCCAAGTGTTGCGTCCAGGGAAGGTTACATCAGCAGAGCATTCCTGGAAAATCATCTATCTCAGGGAAGGGCATGTTTCTCCCCTGAGATGTCCTGGTCACATGTTCCAGGAAGTAAAGGGAGATTTAGTAACCTGCCCTTAGTTAAAATGGCCACTGTCAGAAGACTGGGAAAGAAAAATAAGGGGTCTATTCACGAAGCTGCCGAAGGATCTGGCCGTAGCTTCAGCCGATCAACTTCAGTAGAACCGAAGGGGTGCTGTACGGGCTATTCACAATAGCCCGTACAGCCCCCGATCATGGCCGAGCGGCTCAGTCGAGCTGAACGCATATGCATCGGCTCGGCTGAGCCGTGCTGAAAGCTGACAGCCTGCTTCTGACAGCTGGGCGGAGCTAGCCGTGATCTTACGGCTAGTTTCGGCCACTTTCAGAGATCAGCGTCCCTGGTTACCTGCTAACCAGTGACACTGCTCTCCAAACAGCTAACTCTCCCTGGCACCCCGGGAGTCTCCTGCTCCTGGCTGCCAAGGAGAGAAACACTTGTGTCTTTCTTTATTCTGACACGAGCGATGTCAGAATAGAAGAAAAAAGAGAAATTCCCATTGGGACATTACTATTGGCTATTTCAATTTGCAATAGCCAATAAGTAATGTACCAATGCTTTTCAATGGGAAAAAAAAATGTATTTTCTGACATCGCTCGTGTCAAAATAAAGAACAAAAAGAGACAGCAGTGTTTCTCTCCGAGGCGCCAGAGTTTTTTTTTTTTTACAACAGAGCCGCCGGACAATAGGAAACTGTTGGGTGGAGCTAGCTGTCACTGCTAGCTCCGCCCTCTGCAGCTGTTTCTATTTACTTTTTCACACTTTCTGTTCTGCTCGGTACCTCTGAGGGACCGAACAGCCGAGCCAAATGCCGCTCAGCGGCATTCGGCTATTCACTCACTGCTGTTCGGCATCTTTAACAATAGCCGGACAGCAGTGAGTAGCCTGCCGGAGGTTCGGCTCAGCTGATCCAGATGTTGGGTCGGCTGAGTCTAACTCCTTCTGCACTTCGGGTCGGCTGAGCATCTTCGGCCGACCCGAAGCCATGCGAAGCAAGCCGATGTACGGCTGAAATCAGCCGTGCCAGCCTGTAGTGAATAGCCGAACAGTGTTCGGATCACTTCAGGTTGGTCATTCACTCGGCTGCCTACGGCAGCTTAGTGAATAGACCCCCCTAAGAAATGCAAAAAATCCTGCAGTTATCTAGAAGTATCTGTTTTGGTATATTGTCATTACTAAACCTAACGTTGCCTTTTTGTTTTGAAGATATGGGTAAAGTTCCTTTTTTTTTTTTTTTAAAAGGTGAATGGCTGTTGGTGGGGTTCAATGTAAAGTCATATACATCCCTACCCCCTCAAACATTAAGACTTTTGTAGACTGTACATAAAAAGGGCTGCCATGACTAACTGAGCTGTTAACGTGTTCTCCAACTGCTGCTTGTTCTGCAGACAGAAATTATGCTTGGTCTGGAGGGATGATATGTGCATAGCAATGACGTGCGGTACTTCCTTTAGTATGTGGATGGGATATAGATGTATCTATTGGACATCTTGGTCCAATGGTTATTTGACATCTTGGTCCAAACCATCCACAGAGCTCAACCCTCTAACAGAGTGGAGGCTGTTGCAGCTCTTGCCCCACTAGGTTAGGTTACACAAGCCCACTTCTGTGTAACCTAGCTGTCAAAAGCTGAATGCAGAGCTCTGTCCATGACAGGTTACACAGTGGGGAGGCTTTCGCTGATGTGTAACCTGTTTCGCCAATCAGAGCTGCTTCTGCTTTTACCTCCATAATACTAGGTGAGGCTCTACCTCCCCTAACTTGCATGTCCCTGATGCATAGCCTGCCTCTACTTGAAGGGCATTCTCACTTTTTACTGAAGATGTGCTATTGGCCTGAGGGGTAAACCTGAGAACAAATGGCAGCCTTTGTAGACAAATGGAGTATATGTCATTTTAATGGTTTCCTGTAACCTTTTAATGGTTTAATGTAACCTCAGGATCCACATTTGTCCTCGGTCATTAAGTCACACTGCAATGGAACGCATGGCATTGCAGTTCCGTGCATTTGGGTGCAGGCGATTGAACTGTGAGTGGGAGGTGTGTTTGGGTGCCTTCGAACAAATGGCAATGCACCTCCCACACCAGAATGCACAGTAGGTGTGATTGTGTGGTACAATGCATTAATTGCATGGGACTGTGTGATAATGCACTACTAGTGTGAATGGGCCCTCAAAAACACATGGGATTGTAGACCCCACAAACCAATAAATACATTGACCTACAGTATAATGAAATAAACCATACAACAGTATTAGTGGAAAAATTTGGCTATTGCCCTTTATTGGGGTTAAAAGCAAAATATATTTATTTAAAAAAAAAAAATTCAACAACACAACTTTAATCACCACTTAAACTTCAAACATTAAATTCAGCACTGTCAGTCACCCAGACTCGAGCCATACTCATCACACCAGTCCAATATACCAGTAAACACTGTCCACCCACATATGTGGGTGACAATACCCCCAAAAAAGGACAGCCGTGACCAGGGGTGTAACTAGAAACCACAGGGCCCCATAGCAAAAGTTGCAATTGAACCCCCCCCCCTTAATGTTGCCACCCCACAATGCTTATATTTGCTGCATACAGTTTCTAATAAATCTCAATGGAAGTATTTTTAAATCTTTTCAAGCGGAATCTTCAGAGCAGTAACGTCATCCTACCGGAGTCCATAGCAATAATAGGCATTGTTGATCCTGAAAGAGTTACTGCCTACGAGCTGTGCTTACTGGCACATTTGCCAGAGCTTTGTGGTCATGAAACCACTTAAAATAGAGATTAAAATAAATATTTTAATTGAGATTAGAAACTGTATGCAGCAAAAATAAGAGCTGTGGGGAGGCAATGGTTAAAAAGGTGAGTTATTTTACTGCTTTGCGCTCTACTTTAACACTGCCACCAAAGAAGCTAGTGAAAGGTGTATAATTACATGTATAATGTAACACCCCCCCCTTTTCCCCAGCTTCATTGGTGGCAGCAGTGTTAATTATACCCCATTTCTCAGATTTATTAAAGGGTGTGCATTGTGCACCTTCCCCCAGCATAAAATAATTCACGGCAAATACCCCACCCCCTAATTCAATAAAGCTGTGCGTTGTGCAGCAATCAGCCCTCCCCCTTCCCAGCAGAAAGTAATTAAGTGGCAGGTTGCACAACAGCTGATAGGTTGTTTACTTTTCCCGCCAAAACTAGGTTACTAATCACGTCGATATTAGTCCTGAGATGTTCCTAGTGACAGCAATCTCCAGGCAGAACTGAAGTGTGGCAGCTAGTAAGGGTAACCTAAAACAGATAAAATGGGGAAACCAGGAACAGCCCACAGAAAAGTTCTAGAAATGCTGTACATTAACTATGACTAAAATTACTGTTTGAAATAAAATGACTAAATTAAGTGGGTGACACAATCCCATGATCCCATTATAGTTGTGGCCCCAACATTCTCACACACACATGTACACTCCAAAAAAAAAAAAATTAAGATCCACCCAGTCTCCCTACCTTACGAGAACTGGAATAGATATTTAACGTGGAGTCCAGTGTGGGCTGTGATGGAACTTTATTCAGTAATGCGCATTGCTTGTACAGCTCCCGTGCGTGCCTGTAGAGGTGCTGGGAGCCAGAATGTGATGTCACTCTAGTCCTTTGCTGAAAATGTTCTTAACCTGAAAAATGAAATCGAATGCAACTGCCACATCTATAAACTGCAATATATTTTGTTTTCGTTTTAGATACATTTTAATCTAATCCCCATAGCAAATAAGACATATTGATGAAGGTTTGGGAGGCTGCTGCATTTACCAC